CCACAAAACCAAAAAAAAAGAAAGTAAACCATTATCTTTGTTTTATTTAGCTCCTCCTTTCTAATGGAAAAAGGGGAGAGATTGCTATACATCATATTACCTTGATACCATGAATCATTTTATTGTATTTTGGGTGGTGGATGTTTCACCCGACCTTTACCGTTCAAATGGGAAGTTCGTAAATAGTGATTAGAAAGAATTGAATCGAGCCTCCCACTTTGCTTTACCTCTCCCTTCTCTTCCAACAAAACAACGAAGTGAGGTGTCTTCCCTCTTTCAATACTTCCCCTTCTACAATCTTTCACCATGGTATTAATAGTTGACCATGCAAATTAGCAAGGAGCTTTTTTGGTACGACTATTACAAATTGTTTCTTGAATTTTTGTGTTGCAAGTTAAGTCTGACACATTACATTTCCTGGAGATTCTTGTTTCTGCTTTAACCATGAAACAAGTAATTTTGTAATTGCACTTTGTCAATTGAATTGCATATAGTCCTGCACTCTGTTTCCAGTACATCCTTACACAGTTACACTATCCTTGATGAGCTCGTAATAGTTTGGATTTTATATTTTATTGGTTGAATTCTTCTGAAGCATCTCTTAATGAATCTTTTAGGATGCATGGGAGGAAGTTGATCCAGAGGAACTTTCATATGAGGTAAATTTTGCGGCTGCATCATTTCTTTTGTTCGAGGTATATCTTACTTTGAGTTCATTGGTTGACTTGGCGTTTCAGGAATTACTTGCCCTGGGTGAAGTTATTGGGACAGAGAGCAGGGGTCTTACTGCTGAAACAATTGCCTCTCTGCCTTCAGTCAATTATAAATCACAAAGCATTCAGGATGGAAACAATGATTCGTTAGTACACATTGCCTAGTTTCTATGATTGTTATGATAATATGCTATGACTACTCTTTCATTTTTGTCTTTTTTACTCCCTTGCCCCCCATATGAATGTCCAATCTCTGACAGCGATTTACCCTTGTACCTCAGCTGTGTTATATGTAGGTTGGAATACGAGGATGGTGACACCTTGACTGTGCTTTCCTGCAAACATTTTTACCATCCTGAATGTATAAACAATTGGTTAAGAATAAACAAGGTATGCTTTATGTTTTCTTTAATTCTAAGATTCAAAAGCACATAATTTACTTCAGGGGATACATGAAGTCATGTTTGCTTCTTGCACATTTGATTAGACCAATAAAACATGGTTAAGAAAAAAAGGAATTTAATGAAAAAATACTAGGAACCATTTGTTTTTGTGCCAATATTTTGTTTTATCTCGAGTAATATAATATTCTACAACTGTTGTTTTGCTCTCGAAATATTTTCAACTCCCAATGATGTTGTATTTTCCAGGTCAATGAATCCATATTGCTTTCTTAAATTTGATGGCAAATAGATGTGTGTGTACACATTTATATGCCCAGTTTATTACTTTAGTTTGGCGACATTTGATTTGCCTTTGCATTTGGCTTATGTCCCTATCACGCCTTTTTTTTTTCGAATAAATACAATCCCTAAACGTCATAGTATGGAAGACCAATTTCATAAGGCTAAACTTAGCATTTTTATTTCATTCATTATTGCGATTGAAGGGTTAATTTCGTTGAGTCTCACATGACTTGCTAAGATTTAATTTAGGGAAAATTGCAGCAGAAGCTCCAAACCTTTGAAATATTAACAGACTTTTTCCAAACCTTTGATTTGTTGCAGCCGTCACCCCTAACATTTCCACACGTTGTAGGGGAAGCCCTTTTGAATGATTTCCATCCACTATTCCATTAGTTGATAAAAAATTTAACTTTGACCACATTTTTAATATTTTAAAAGGTAAAAGAGTAATTTTTTATTTATCACATTATATAGTAATTAAATTAGAAAATTAAAAAAAAAAATCGTCTTCTTCCTCTCACCCCGCCAGCACCCCCACTTCTAACTGAAATCCAAAATCCTCACCACCACCACCACCACAACCACCACCGTCGGCGCCGCCACCGTCACCATATCTTAATGGTGGCACATTTTCATGTTTAATCTTCCCCAAAACTTCCATTTGCTGCTCGAATTCTCTCTTCGAAGCCACCACATCTTTTAGCCTCTTCACCGCAACAATGCTGCCTTCTTCTAACACAGCTTCATAATTAGTATCAACACTTTCTTTTCCTGTTGAAGCCCTCAACAAATCCTCCAGATTGAAACTATAAGTCCCCGCATCGAAGAATTTATGCAATTATTTTGATAACCTGAAAACCCCTCAATTAGAGGGATTATAATTGTACTCATGTTCTTCAGTTTGATTTTTCTAGGGAAATAATTGTACTTTTTGGTGAAAATAATTTGATTTGGTATGGAAAACCTGGAATTTGATTCTGTGGCTTGTTGAAGAGGATTTCGGGGTTGGGGATTACGTGAAATTGGAGGAAGGTTCGTACGGTGGGACCGACAGGTAGGTGGTTGCTGAGGGGTCGACATCGGGTTGTTGTGGCGGCACCGGCGGTGGTGGCGGTGTGGTTTTTGGATTTGAGTTAGGGATGGGGGTGGTGGCGGGGTGAAAGGAAGAAGACAGGTTATGTTTTTTTATTTTTCATTTTTTAATTTAATTACTATATCATATGATAAATGAAAATTTACTATTTTACCCCTTCTAATGAAATATTAAAAATGTGGTAAAGTTAAATTTTTGGTCAACTAATGGAATTGTGGATGGAAACCGTCCAAAAGGGCTTCCCCTGCAACATTTGGAAAGGTTAGGGATGACGGTTGCAACAAATCAAAGGTTTGGGGAAAGTTTGCTAATGTTTCAAAAGTTTGGGGCTTCTACTGCAATTTTCCCTTTAATTTATCTCACTTGGATTACTGAGTTTTAGTTTCAAATATCATTACTCTTGTCATATTCTGCCCCTACCAAGCTGACGAAAATTGTTTAGTTGGCAGCCAGAGCCAGTCCACAACGTATCTTCTTCGTGATGCTATGTTCCATTATATGGCATGCCAACTAAACATTAGGCCACGGCTGAAAAGTATCAAATGAAAAATGTGCTTTTTTAACATTTCATTTGGGCAGAGTTGGCATGCTACTAAGCAATAACATGAAAAATTCGTTGTGGTTTAGCTGCCAATTAAACAATTCCATCAGGTTAGTTTGGGGGATGATAGTTGACGGAATGGAAACATTTGAAACTGAAATGAAGTTTAATGACCCAATTGAGACAAATTAAAGTTCTGTGACAAAATTCGAGATCTCACTGGAAGTTTATTTACTGCAGATGAAATTCAATAATTTTGTTCTTGTACTCGATAGACTTAACGGATGTATAAATTCTGTACTGGTGTAGGTTTGTCCGGTATGCAGTGCTGAAGTCGTGTCTTCTTCGGTAAACATCTAGCAGATTTCATGGCTGGCTTATTAAGAAGCTGCTTGAGATGGCAGATAATGGATTACAAATATTATTTGATGGCATCAAAGACTGTATTATCAGATTTGTATCCATTTTTGCTTTTCTTAAATATGATTGCCCACATTTTGTTTTGATTTGCTTTTATAATATCCATTCCTCTATGTTTCTTGCTTATAATTATATGAGTACATTAAAAATGAATGTGCCCTTACGTTAAAAGCCCAACAATTAGCTTTTCAAAATATTGTTAGAAGTGATTTGAAGATAAGAATGGAGTATCGAAAAAGAATTCATGTAGTTTTTAGCACCAGCAGTGTAAATTAAAGTCACGTGTGAAAGTGGTGGGTTTTTAATGTGCTTGCCAATTGTTTGAATAAAGGATTTTTACGTAAGCGTACTTTATTAATTCTTTTTAAAGAATGTATATTTTAAAATAGTAGATTGATGACGAATGTGAGGTTAAAAAGAAGGAAAAAAATTTTATTTACATATAATATTTTTTCAATATTGAAAAGAGAAGGAAAAATATATTTTGGGGAAAATGGGAATCTTACACTCCCTAAATATTGAAAAAGTACTAAAAACGTATATTTTAGCATGCTGGAGAAAGCATTGAAAAAGTTTTACATAAGAGTGAAATTGATTATGATGGCTAAAAAGGCAACCACGAGACTCAAAATTTTCAGTCGAAAATAAAAGAAAATGAACCAACTCTGAGGACTTGTTCTTTGAAAAGCTATAAACCTTCTCGTGAAAACAATGGATTTCATAGCCTTATAATCGTTCGAAGAAATGAGAATCCTCCAATGTCGAGAAGAGTGTATCTAACAAGAAAATTTTGAGGTACGGGAGTACATTTATCTTTTATTTTATTTAAAAATTAAAATTACTTGAACATACCAACAGAATCGGATGTTTTCATGCCCGCTGGGATTGGAGGAAATACATGGAAATGACCTTTAGACTGTAGCAAATTTTAACATTGGCTTTTGACCCATTAAATGAATAAAAAAAAAGTTAAAATATAAGTTTACACTAAAACGGCGATTTTACCCTTCACTATACACCGACTGTTAGAAAAAATCCAAACCGACCGACCGACCGCACTTCGAAGAAAATTGACGCCAACTGCCTGAAGAACGACCGATCAACCACCAGTCGAAAACACCAACGTTCAATCCGTACCTGCATGCTACTATTCCGGTTAGTTTTGGCGCTCGAAGTTTATTATTACAAGTTTCAGTTTTTAGATTCATTATTTTTACGTTTATTCGGTTTAAATTCGTCATCATTTAAAGTTGTTAGATTATGGGTGTGAATGGGGTGAAAAATATGAATTTTTTGTAATTTTTGGACCTCTTCATCGTCGACAATGACGAAATCGCCTGTGGGAAGACGACGACTATTAACAGTCGGATACAGTCGTGGGTCAACTGTTAAACAGTCATGGTCCGAAAATAATTTTTATAATTAATTTATTTTTTTATTTGATAAAATAATTATGTTATTTATTTATTTATTTATTTATTTTTTATAGCTGTCTTTCATTTTATTCATATAATTTAATTATTTAATTTTTATAATTGTCTTTTATTTATATAATTTAATAATTGAATATTATCTAAAATTAACAATTTATTTTGTTCCTTTTATTTTTGTTTTTATGAAATAATCTTTGAATTTTTTTTTTCAAATTTATTTAGATAATATATTTGTTTTTTAAATTTTTTAAAACTGTATTTAATTTGAAATTTTTTTGTTCGTAAATATATTTTCCAAATGATTACAAGATTAATTTGATTAAATAATAATTATGTTAAATTTTTTTATAATTCCCTTTTTTTATATAATTTAATAATTGAATAGATAATGTTGTCCGAAATTAACAATTTATTTTGTTCCTTTTATTTTTCTTTTATGAAATAATCTTTGATTTTATTCTAATTTATTTAATATTGATATTCTTTATTTTTTTTAAAATGTATTTAATTTGAAATTTTTTTTTAAATATATTTTCCAAATGTAATATACAAGATAAAATAAATTATTTTAATTTTTAAATTTGCATTGAATTTATTTTGTTATTAGCGTCAATGTCTTGCGTATTGTATGATAGTTATAATTCGGTTGCTTTGATTTTTTGAGATTATGCGTTACTTTATTATCTATTGCTCAATGTTCTAACATTTGAATTTTTGCAGAATGAAGTATCATTTACATGGGGAGTTGAGACGGATAGTAGCTTTGAGAATTTCACTGCGGTGTTGGAGTTGCTTGATGATTATCACAGAGATATGCTGCGACAGTCCTTCTTGTGGCCACTGTACCGGATGCGAGAGGTGCAGTACTCAGGACAGATCATCGATGCACTTCTATGTCGGCTTTTGAGGCCAGTCGACGGCGATTCCCTCCACTTCGACCTCAAGGGCAAGGTCGTCAGTTTCTCGATTTATGAGTTTAGCTTGATCACTGGACTGAGGATTATAGGCGACGATGTAGCCATTGAGAAAAGCAATAGGCTGTACGAGACATACTTCCAGGGACACGGGTCAATGCATCTACTCGAGTTGATGGTCGGGATTAGGGGGTGCGACCAGATGTTAGAGAGATTGAAGTTTGGGCTGGTCTACATCCTTGAGAGTGTGATGAGGTGTCATCACAAGAAGACTGTCATCGACATTTTTGATTTGGAAGTTGTTGACGACATTGATGCGTTCAACAACTATCCATGGGGCCAGAGATGCTATGAAGACACCGTACATGTCTTCACCAAATTACACTCGAGGTCAAGAGGGTCAATGCGTAAATACGATACATATGGATTGCCGTTAGCGGTGCAGGTAAATGTTTAATATAATTAAAGTTAAAGTTCTAGTATATTACATTTATGCATAATAAGTGTATGAGTTGCAGATTTGGGTGTATGAGACAGTCCCTGCACTGGGAGCCCGCTTCGCGAAGCGAGTGGAGACACGATGCCCTCGAATGCATCATTGGAAATCGTCGCGAGCGGAGGGATGTCCCCTGGAAAACAGTTATCGGCCCTCCCGACGATCTCCAGGTAAGTATATGCATTTGTGATTTATATTATACGTAGTTTAAATCTGTTTACATGATCGTTAACTAGTTCAAATGTCTATGTTAGCTTGAAGTCATACCTGAGTTGACGCCGTCGATGGAGGAGGAGGAGGAGGAGGAGGAGGCTCGGGGTCTTGTGCGGGATGTAGGTGTTCCACATACCGAAGACGAGCAGATGTCTGATCCGAGTGTGGATCGAGATTGGGTATGTGAATTAAATATAATTTATTGAATATCATAGACGTATAAATTTATTTAATAATTTTTAATGTTATTTATGTAGGAGGGCGGTCCGGCTGATCGACGATCACCTCCGTCGAGGGTATCGCCCCCACCATTGGCATCACCTCCGTCGAGGGCATCGCGGCCGCCATTGGCATTACCTCCGCCGAGGGCATCACCACCGCCGAGGGTATCTCCTTCTCCCTCGTCCAGACACGTCCCCCGTGTATAGCCAACACACACCGATGACTTGTATGCCCGTCCGACTGGATTTATAGTAGAGGAGGTCGGTGCGCTACGACGAGAGTTGACGGAGAGGGTCGATAATCTGGGACGAGAGTTGACCGGGAGGGTCGATGATCTGACGGGGAAGGTCGACTATCTGACAGGGAGGGTCGACGATATGGGACGAGAGTTGACAAGGAGGGTTGACGATCTATCCCATGATGTTGGACTGCTACGATCTTGCGTTGTCGACCTTCAGGATGCGGTAGCGACACTTAGAGGAGATTTAGCCGCTAGGTGATGGGGGGACAGAGGGGATGGTAGAGATGATCGAGAGGGTGGCAGATATGGTGATGGAAAGGGGGGTCACCCACATTTTTAGCATGACGAGACATTAGAATCATTCTGGTTATCTATGGAGGGGGATAGGGTGACCCCGATGGGAGGGGCGACAAAGGGGGAGGCACCGATAGGAGAGACGGAGGAGGTGGCGACAGAGGGGCAGGCCCCGATGAGAGGGGCGGAGAAGGTGGCGACAGAGGGAGAGGCCCCGATGGGGGGACGGATGAGGTGGCGACGGAGGAGGGTGAGAGGATGCCCATCGTGATTGAGGGTAAGAGACATGCTGTTCATGAGACGGAGTAGGTGGTCGGCAAGAGGTTGAGAGTGCCGTCACAGTATGTTGTTTTCCCCTTTACGGCTGAGGCCAAGAGAAGGACATTCATCAATGGGACGTACCCGAACTTATTCAGAGAGGTGGACAATGCCAAGTGGAAAGCATTCGAGACGGAGTGGAAGAGAATTATCCCCAGGTAAGTATTGTATGATTTTAATAAAGCACTGTACGCTAACTCGTCTATGCTTATTTTAACATTTCCCTTTTTTTCAGAGCTACCCGCACGATAGGTAACCGGACGGTCTCGGACGCTTACAAGTGGTTCCACGATATCACGACTTCGGGAGCTTGACTCGCCGACGATATAAGTGAACTATTCATTTCGTATTTTGTATGTATACGTCACTTTGTGTTTATTAAATGAATAACAAATAATTTTTTGGTGTTTCTTGATGCAGCACATCGACCTGGCCATGGACTTGCTGTGAGATCGAGCTTAGAGACATCCAAAATCATTTGACGTCTATGGTCGAGTCATATTAAACACCGAGTTCCTGC